GACAGAGATGTGACACAATACAAACTTGATAAATATTCTAAATCTTTTAAAACCATAAGTAACTTACAAATTCAACAGCCAGTCCTTCATTCAAGCCACGTTGTCCTACCATTACAAATCCTTCACGATAACTAAGATCAGTTACAGCTTTACTACCATACAACTTTAACCACCTTCTACTATCTTCTTTTAAACTACAAACAGTCAAATTTTGTGGAATAGATCTTAGTCACGTCTCCATTTTGAGACACTCAAAGTGAGGTTCATAACGCAAATTACGTCATATGAATGAATAGCCTATGTGACATCACTGAACACCTGATAAACAGAGAAAATGGGCTTTACGCTGCCCTTTCTCAAAAATGTCTGAAGGTAAAATTCATCTGATAGCATTATTAAATAGCTTAATCAATTCCGATTTTAATGATTTATAATATGATTAGTTTTGCGTTACTAGGACTGAAAAAGGAGGCTTTAATGATGTCGAGGTGGTGATTTTATTGCAGTGACACCATGTTGCCTTTGATTGTTTACGTTACGAGCCTCATTCTGGATGGCCAATGCATGAATATATTGATTATTAAAGGGATTGTAAACGCAACTAAAAACGTGTAAATTGTGGTCAATATTGCCAAGAACTCAGCAATATCCTACTCCTTAGCCTTAAGCCTGAAGATTCAGCTGTTAGATCAAACCTTTTATTTTAAAGAAATATTATTGCCTTACTTTTGAGAAGCATCATCAAAACTGGCGACCAATATAATCCCATTTTCTGGAACAGTTTTCTTCAAAAAGCGTATCAGAGGAGCTTCTGGAAAACGCAATAGATTCAAAACGAATTAAGGAAAATAGTATATTTCTAGGTTATATCATTTACTTTGCATGTTCTGCAGGTTCTGAATTCATGGAATCAACTAACTAAGTTCATAACACATTCCACGTGTCCCGATGTAGGTGCAGGCAGAATTCAAAATGGTGCAGAAGAAAAAAGATGGGAAAATTTTGAATGTGACACATTTCGCTTTTATATATTCGATTGAGTGCAGACGTAACCTGTTCAGAACATACAATCAAGCGCAACCAATATGACTAGAATTTCAAATGAGCCAACTGAAAGTCTATTTGCTGATAACTAAAACAACTTACCGTCTTCATAAGTATCAAATGATCTTATGTCTGTAACTTTCTTTGTTTTATCTGAAGAGAAAATGAAATGAATGAAGTTTTATGTCCTACTTTTCTGCACCCAATTCGAATAATGAAGTTGTGTTTTGGGGTGAAATGCTTAAATTCAATATACATGTTAAGCTAATTTCAATCCTCCAC